GTGAGTGCGGGGCCGCCGAGGCCGCCGCGGCCGGCGTCGCCCTCATCTCCTCCTCCTCCCTGGCTCCTCCTCGCCTCTCTCGCCTCTCCCTCGCCTCCTCCTCGCCTCCTGCGCCCTCCCTGCCGCCGCCCCTCACCCCCTCGCCCCCCTCGTCGCGTCTCGGCTCCCTCCCCCTCCTCTCTTTTATTCTCTCCCCCTCCTCCTTATTTCCTCGCCATTAAGGCCTCTCTCTCCTCGCTTTTTGCCTCTTCCTCCATCATTTCGCATTCCCTCTCCCTCCTCCCCAGCCAATTTCCCCAATTTCTCCCCGTTTGGCTGTTGTTTACCTCCTTTCTGTTATTCTACTTCTCTCATTCTTCCATATTCCCCCCTTTTATTTATTTTCCTCCACCTCCCCCTCTCTCCTCCCCCCCTGCCCTTCTCCCTTTGCGAACGAGGAGGAGGAGGAGTAGACGATAATAATCCTATTTCCTTGTTTATCTCCGAGCGACGTGAATGACGAGGGTCTTCTGTTTTTGTTTATTTTTCCTCTTCGCTTTCCCTCTCCTCCTCCTCTCCTCTTCGTGTCTCCTTCCCCCTTTTCCTTCCTTCCCTTTACTGATTTATTTTTTCCTCCACTTCCCCTCCCCCCCCTCAAAGTAGCACACTGCCTCGTTCATCCACGCGAAAGGAGCTCCAGAAGGAAACAGGAAAGGAACTGAAAAGGAACCGAAAAGGAACCGAAAGGGAAAAGGAAGAAAACGCAAGGAATCGGAAGGAAACAGAAGGAAATGAAAGGAACCGAAGGGAAACGAAAGGAAAAGAAAGGACCCGGAACGCCATCAGTGTGACGACAATGACGACAAATCGCTAGGAAAAGGCCGTCCGTCTCGAGGGTGAAAGACCTATGGGGTTCGGCAGGAAGGGAGGGAGGGGGAGAGGGAGGGGGGAGGGGGTGTGTGACAGGTCGTTGGCAGGTGTGGCGTTTAGGCAGGTGGTTCGTAAGGAAGGGGAGAACAGAGAGAAAGAGGGAGATGAAGAGATAGAGAGGAAGATCTGGAGAGAGAGAAATGGGAAAAGGGAAGAGAAATGTGGACAAAGGGAAGTGAGAATGCATAAAGAATAAGAGAGGAAGAAAAAGAGTAAGAGAAAGATGTGTAAAAGAGAGAGAGGAAAAGAAGTGAGAAAGAAAGACCTAAAGAAAGTGAGAGAAAGAGAAAGAGACAGTGAGAGAAAATAGAAAAGAGTGAGAAAGAAGGAGAAAGAGAGAGAAAAATTCCAATAAAGTGCGAGAGAGAGAATCAAGGAAGAGGAAGTGACCAAAAGTGTGAGAGAGAGAGAGAGAAAATAAAGAAGTGGCATATAGGATAGGAAGTGATAAAAGATAAGAAGAGGAAAGAAAAAAAAAAAGTGAAAAATAGAATAGAGAGTGATAAAGAAAGAGAGAAAAAGAATGAAAAGAGGTGAAAAAGCGTAACAGTGATGTCTGGTATGCCATTAATTTTTCCATAAAGCTTTGGGATATATATTTTTGAAATTTGTCTTGAAACTCGCTTAATATTTCCTTTATTATATAGTTATTCTGGTAGCTGGCATTTGTGTGTTGATATTGAAGTTCTTAGGATCTTTCTTGGTTATGTTTTGCAATTTCAAAACAAAAATCTGTAATCGATCATAAGTAGGATTCGTGAAAGGATGGTTTAGCCTCCGTGCCCGATGCTCTGGCAAAGGACAACACCCTTTTCCCCCCCTCCCCCCCTCCCTGCGTTTATTACTGGTGAAATAGAGCTTCGCACTTGAAGCCTTAGAAGATCGGTGTTTGGCCTGAATGTATTTAGTAAAATCCGATTGTGAATTTTATTGCTCTTGTTATTTGATTTCTTGGATGTAGAGTGGGGAAGCTTATGCCCTGCTGGACTTTGGTGCGTGGGTTTGGATGGGAGATTGTGGTCGGAAATTTACATCTTGGAATGGGTTGATTTTTATTTATTTATTTTTTTGTATCTAATTGCCTTTGAGTTTGAGTTTCTCTGGATCAGTCTGTCGTTTAATTTTCATCAGTTGCTATGATATTAGAGCAGGTAGTGATACTGAAGTTCGTGGTAATGAGTAAGATAAAGAAAAATGTTCAATTTATTTTCAGCTTTGCAAAGGGAATCGATAACTTTCACTGAAGTACGGTAGATTTCAGAATCATGATATCATTTTTAGTTTGCAAGAATATTGACTGTTTTTTCCAAATCCATCTGAAAATTTTTGTGATTTAGGACAGAAGAACGACAGTCGAAAGTCCAGTCTGTTAGTAGCCCAGTGACAAGCGATCTTTGCGATTATCGTGTCTTTGGGGCTGAAGCAAAGGCCAGCAAACTTCCTCTGTGTATATTGGGGCAAGATTACGATATTGGGTAATTGTTTGCCAATAGATTATATACCACGTAAGGTGACAAGCTTGCATCTCATTACTATAAACTAGGGGGTGGTTTCTTGACCTTTGCTGGAGTGTCAACAGGTGTCTAGGCTAGTAGCAGATATAGGGGTGTGTAAGTGAAATTCATTTATCAGTCGGGAAAACTTTATATGTTATGGAAATTGTGTAAAATTTGCATATTGAACTAAGGTCATGATATATTCAGTATTTTTGAATCAGAAGCTAGAGGACTGATATTTTTCAACATAGATTAGAATTTTCTTTATTCTGTGGGTATCCTTGGCATTGGCAGTATGATTTGCAATTTAATTGTTGACAGTATTAACCATTTGCAGCAAACTACCATTTGCTTAACCCCTTGGATCCAGGTGCTGGGTGCCAATGCATGACCCAAAATCTGGGCATTAAGCTTAATTTGTTGGACTCTTTCATGATGTGTGGCTTGTAAGCTTGGATGCACACAAAACCTTGTGGTAAAACTGTGTGGTGGTAATATCTCTCTTTTTGCATAATCTTTTTTTTGCCAATTTTATGCCAATTTTAATGTGTACATTTGTCATGTGCTTAGCTTTATCCAAACGGTAATAGATTGTTTTCCTTGCTCAGACTGCTCTGGAGGTAGTCCGTAATTTAATGCAGTAATTATAACAATGAGTAACATTTTGTTATTTTCAAAGATAATTTTTAATATTCAATTTTTTGTCATAACCTGTGCCGCTGGCAACAGATGGGATCCTGAGCATGGAAGGAGTGTCCTCTCTGGAGCCAGCCACCTTCTAGTTAGGGCTAATTAGTGGTACATTCCACACTCATTTACTAATAGGAATAATGCAAAAGCCCCTTCCTAAATGCCCACTGATGCTTTTCGTCCTCCAAGAGTTTTGTGCATTCCCATCACCCTGGGCTTCGGTTGGAGTCACGATGGCATGTTCCTGTCACCCTGTCCCTTAACCAAATTATTCATAACGCCATGTTCATGTCACCTGTCCCTCAAGCCATATTTTTTCATGGCATACTGGTCATGTCACCTGAATCTTAGAGGTCGAGTCATTGGTTGCAGAGGGCATGGAATCATGATGTGGCTGTGGTTGAAAGTCATGAATGGGAGGTTCTGTTTGCACTGTTTATTCTCCATTGCTCTGCTTTCTTGATGTATGTGAAATTAGGTTTTTCAAAGGTACTGGATATGGAAGTACTCTGTTTTCGTTTATTTTCGCCTCAATATTTTCTTGCTCTCTTTAAGAAAATTTTAGATTTTTAAAAAATTTAGTTGGCATGTTCAAGTTTTATTAGTTCGTAGAATGCGTTGTGTGTTCAAGATGCTGGAAAGGATATTTTTGTAAAGAACTCTTGTACTTATCATACAGAGATAAGTATTGACCTAGTTTCCACAATCAGTACGGATAGTGTGTGCATTATTATAGTTAATTGGAATAGTATGTGTACACAAAACTAGCATAGAAGTTATTTAATTACTATGAAGGACAATTGTCAGTTGAGGGTCTTTCTTTTCAGTGTTGTAGTTAATACGCATCATTGTTTTATGGAATTATAATATAGGATGATATAGGGAATGTGAATATTTTGTGTCAAAACTTTATTTTTTGTTTTGAGATTGGGTTTAAGATATTTTCACTCAAAAGTCACTCAGTTTTGTTCAGTATTAAAAAAAGAAAGAAAAGAAAAGCTAGCCCCTTCTCTTTCCAATCTATTCCATGTCCCTTCCTCTTTTTTTTTATTCAATGATGAATCATTACAGTATTGCTTTGCACATGATAATGCGTGGTGGTTCTGGAGATCTGAAGGTTTGCTGATGTTTGAGAAAATATCTTTGTTATTACTCATTGGGAAATGAAAGCTGTTGCCAGAGCACTCCATTTGCCTCTTTCATTTAAATTTTTTTATTATTATTATTATTTTTTTCAAGAGAAACAATGTAATAGTCCTGGCTTTTTTGATGTGACACCTTGGTGCTATTTTTCAGTTGAATTTCCCCCAAAAGTGTGGGTGGCATAAGCTATGATTGTCCTGTGATGGTGAGAGTACCATTCCAGGCATGACGTGACATCCGTGCTACCCAAAGGCAATGAACTAACCATTAAATTCAGGTGATGTGGCTGTCACATCTTGAAAATATTTTGCTGAGGACCTTTAGGAAGGGGCTCTTGCATCATTCCTGTAGGTGAATGAGGGTGGACTGAAGGTACCATCTGTGAGCCATGGCTGGAAAAGTGCTGGCTTCAGGGAGCACCCTGTTGCCATGCTCAGGATCCTTTTCATGCTGGTGATGGCAGGTGGTGCAGTGTGTTACAGAAATTTGAATTTGATGAAAATGTTTAAAAATTACACAAATATCATATTGTTATTGTTTTTGCACAGACTTGTAGACTACCTAGAGATATGACATGAAGTCTGCTCAAAGTAGACAGTCTTTTGCCGTCTTGCTACAGCATAACAAATACCAGATATAGAACTTGGGAAGTGTCAGAATAGCAAAAAAAAGCTTAAGCAGCGAGAAATAATAAGCATTGAAAGGGGAGGTAAGGAGTCTTGATACCCCACGAGTGTTTGTGTGGGCCGGTCCTACAACGCA